TATATATATATATTTGAATAAATTATTAAAGGCAATAATCTATATAATCACATCCAAATCAAAGCCACTTGGAAATACATTTAATGCAATTTTTTGAAGGAAGATTAAAGCATTGTTAGTATAAGCCTCAAAGGTTAAACTCTTATTGCACAACCTTTTCTTTATAAGGAAAAGTTAAAGTTTGTATGAGAGTAGGATGCTCCTCTAGCTAAGAATGATAAAATTAATTATATATCTAAAAATGAGGAGAGAGAGAAAATCTAAGAAAAAAAATAGATTTTCTTTTGGGTGCAAATTACTATTTATCATTTTGAAAGATGTTATGAAAAAAGGAACGTGTGTTGCATGAGGCTAATTGTGTGCATGCCCTTAAGCAAGATGGCCAATATGGCTATGAATGCATGTTGGGACTCAATTGTGGGCTTAGACAATGAAAAAATGTTGGCTTATTTGTTTTATTGTGCTGAATTTTATGTACAATAAAGATGTACATGTTGTACAGATTGTTGCACCTAAAATCTAGATGCATCAGGACAAACCATCTAACTAATATTCTTTCACAAACAAGCCATTTTCAATATTTTTGAGATTCTTTTAATTGATTGACATTAATTTGAATTCAAATAAAAACAGAAGGTTTAAATATTTTCTTAATAATTTTTGCTCCAATTTATGTGCCAATTTTGTACAAGGGTAAAGTTATAATGTAAGAGAATTTATTTAATTCACAACCATGATGAAAAGTCCACATTGACAGTCGTAGGGTGCTCATGCCTTGTAATATTTTAAAATTTCAAAATTTTCTATTAAATACTTAATGAATATTTTGAAATGGTAGAAATTTTTTACTTCAAAAAATAGGGCATAAATGATAGTCATTGAAAAATCCCTTTAAGAGCTAAGTAATTTCTCAAGAAAATGGTTTACATTTAGAATTAGTCAAACTTTAACATCAATACGTTTCTAGTGATCAGATTGCACGTCTCTTATCAGAGATGAACCCATCGACATCGAAAGTGATTAGTTTTGACTCTAAATGAGCTCATATCATATGCTAAAATAAACTTAAATAATTGATGAGTACATTGACTAAACTATTCAATGATTTTTGAAACTTATGTATTCAAAGTAAAAATTATGTCTCAATGATATAAATTCAATAAAGTCAAGACTACTTAAATTTGACATCAATAAGGTTCTTAAAAATTTTAAAAATATTATATGTCAAGGAAGATCACTCTAGGTCATCCAAAGGAGTGATAAAATATTTTTGCCCAGATCCATCAAAATATCACTTTAAAAATCTATAAATATACCACCTTATCGTTATAAACACATTGAATAGTACAATTACTAAAATCTGCACAAAAACTAACATGACTCTGGAGCAGGGCTTTCACTCCAACATCTGACCAAACCCAACAAAGCTAAAGTTATCATACATTGCTCCGGTTGCCTTAACCGGCCATCCTTGATGGAGAGAGCGTAGCAACAACACTTCTCAATGCATAAGAGGTTGATTTTATCCAGGAAATTATAACATATGCATATGCTCTCTATGATTCCATTCATATACTCTATGAAAACATAAATTAGTTATTCATACATTTACCCCTTCATAAAACCAGCCCCAAATAGTTCCAGCAACAAAAACTAATGAGATATGATTAGTGCAATAGTGATTTATCAAACATAAAGTGTTTTATAAAAAAATTGAAATATAACCATCAAATATTATCCATAATAGTGTTGCCATGGAGATGACAGAGAAGACAAAAATGAAAGAAAAATAAAGCTTGATGATGAGTATTTTTCTAAAATTAGAGTACTACAAATCACATAAGATATTTTAAAGACTACAACATCATCACATTTCAATTACTTTTCACAAAATGTCTGATCCGTCGTTCGTGATGCAGTTACTCTACCTGCTGACAATTTTATCTGCACATGCAATAGTTGTCATTACAAAAAAAAAAAAATCATTAATTACAAAAAAAAAAAAATCACGCAAATGTCGAAGGCAATGTCTGTGTGTGGCCTAAGTAAAAATTTCACGGCAAGCTCTTACAATTTCAGAGTGGCAATCAGAGATGATACATAAGTCTTGTTTTAAAAAAATTGAAGGGAACATGCCATATAGGATTTATGTAAACCGCCACCAACACTCATTAAATTCTGACTCAACAACATAAAATGCTAGCAAAAATAGATCGTTGTTAGCATCAACAACAACAACACTCAACAATGTACCTCTGTATTTTTCGAACAAAAAGTCTCATCCACACTAATAACTGGATGACAGTGAACCCATCCAAAAATATAAGGACTGAAAGTCCATAAAAGTCATAGAAATCGGTTAGATGAGGCGACCTGAATTCTATAAACTGAACCCGACATTGCAAATGAGATCATTGTCAAAAAACGGTATAAGGAATGGTAACACTCCTCCTAGCTTAAAAAAATTGCCTTGATAGCCTTCATTCGGGATTGATGTTAAATATATATTCAATGTGACCAATGATCTCCTTCGACTTGACATCCATCTGTTATCAAATAAATGGAAGAATAAATGATGAAATAAAATTCGACGTACATTATTTGTGTCTGGTGATCATATTAGGTTGATTGCAACTATATGATGTCATATTAGTAGAAATCCTTCACACATCCTCCAAACTTTTTCTGCTCGAAACAAGTAGGCGCCACTGACAAAGTCTGTAGACATATTACAGTTAAACTATTCTTATTTGAATTAATAATCTTGAACTCATCATTATTGAGAATTGACCACACAAACAACACACTGAAGTTCATTTTTGTTGTGAAAGAACATATCTTCTAAGAGCAAGGATAGAATAAATCCTTCTTGGGTAGATATCATGTGCTTACTAGTTCGGTTAAAATCCACATTCTTATCCCACTCATGTGCAGTTTGACAGAACCATACGTAATCATTGCTAGTAATCACTTCATCTACTATGTCACGATTATGAAATGCATGCTCCCGCATAAGTTTATGCCCGTTCATCTGCGCATTATCGTGCTTCTCGATATCTTTGTGATCCGTCTCATTATCATTATTATCATCACTTGAGACACTGTACATTGTCTCATATCCTTCAAAAATGGGGGACAATTGTACATCTCATGCACGAGGATTTGCAGGGTTCAGACTAGAAACCCAATCGTTGTCGGGAGACAGAAGTGTCACCGGATGAGGCCGATCGCACGTAAATTTCACTTAGGGCTGGATTCTAGGTCGTGCGAGCAAGTGAGTCGCGAGTGAGGAAGAAAAATAAATTAGGTTATTAGGATCGTGTAAGCTGGCAAACGATTCTCAAATTTTTTTTTAAAATGTCATTTTAAAAATTTTACCTAATTCACGTCTTATTCAGAAAATTTTGCAATACTTTTTGGTCCCTTGCATTTAAATAATTATCAATAAAAATAATAAAATGATAATGAAATTGAATTTCAAAATAAACACAAATATATAAGACTATTGATATAAAAAATAATAGATAACAACAGCGTAGGAAAAGAACGTAGCAATCTAATTATTGGGCCTTCAAGCGGCCCAATCCACTATATTCCAATCATTGTCAGTATATGCCCCTAAGTCCGAAATGGTGTCCATGTGAGTGAAATGTATGCCCCCAATGCTTACCTTCCCAAAAGATTCCCAAAAACAAACATAGGGAATAACTATGAGACATAGCCGCAGTTAAATCATCTAATCTATTCCTTTCAATTAAAGAAGATAAAGATTAATAAGCAATACACTCCTATTCTCCAATAATGATGATGATGAGGGGGGGGGTGTAGAGACCATGAATGAGTGTAGAGACCATGAATGAATGATAATTTCAAGAGAATTGAGG